GGGGGGGGGGGGGGTTCGCTCACCTGGGTTGCGAGGGTGGCCGCGAAGATCGGCATGAGCACGAAGAAGCCGACGATACGGGTTGGCGTCAGCACGATCGTGAACTCGACAAGCGGCGCGACCAGCATGCCGTTGGACGTTCCGGTCACGGGATCGAGCTCGCCGTAGCGGATCCGCGAATCCTCGCGAATGCCGAGGCCGCTGAGGGTTCGTAGGAACGGGGGCCTGCGCGGGACGCCGACAGAGGTGAGATGAGGCGAGAGGGGGTGCGAGAGGAGCCGAGAGGAGCCGAGAGGAGCCGAGAGGAGCCGAGAGGAGCCGAGAGGAGCCGAGAGGAGCCGAGAGGAGCCGAGAGGAGCCGAGCTGAGACGGCCTGCGCAGGAAGCCACCCGTGTAGAACATGTCCAGAGTGGTGCTCGAGGCGCGTGCGACCTATAGGGAAGATAAGGATCGAAGGTAAGGAAAGTAGATTTCTCCGCCCACACGTAGAGGCGTGACAGGGAGTGCAAGGCCCACCTCTCGACTCGGCCACGAGAGCATATCTGGCTGGGCGAAGCCCGTGAAGGATGGGTCGATGCACAGCATGTTGAAGGCGAGCTTCGATTCGAAGAACTCCAAGTCGGAGGTGAGCCTTTGCACGAGGAGAGGGAGACTTGCGCCGTGTAAGAGCTGTAGCTGTGAACTGCTGAATGCAGTACGTGTCGTCTCGAGTGCCGTGTGGGGAACTGCATTCAGCATCTATGCGGGGGGCGAACGTGAACTTGAGCCGCTCGGTCGAGAATGGGTACCGAGACTGCTGCGGCCGGTACGAGTACGAGCCCATCAGCTTGATGTACTGCGCAAGCAGGGAGGCATAAGGAATTCTGGGGCGGGGGGGGTCTTAATGCGAACACACGTCCCCTCACCCCACGCCGCAGTGCTACTCGAGTAGTCGTTATCTGGTGGCGATCTGGTGTGTCTCGGGCTCCCCGCATATAGTGGTTGGTTGGTCTCCTGTGGGGATTGAGCTCTTGAGATCGATGTGTGAGTAGTGGCCGTCCTCCCCCTGCCACTGGACTAGGCAGACAAGGGCGCTAGAGAGGGCGAGAACGACGGACCTTAAGGTGGCCCTCGGGGTCGAACTGCGGGGCTCCTGCCTTCTCTGACCGCGCATTCTCATACGCGAGGCGGAATACGTTGTCGAAAGTGGCGGAAGTGAGATCGCGCGTAGAGTCCAGCGCCTCCCTGGTGCATCTGCGGGGAAGGAGGTGGGTTGGAAGGGTTTGGTATAAAATAAAGGGGGAGGGAGGTCACAGGCATGGGAAGGTGACGAGGGACGGCTGGCGGGAGAGGAGGCATGCACTCGAATGCGAAGCGGTCGTCGTCCCAATCCTCCACGTCCACGAAGCTGGTCCCGTCTGGTCGAGCCATGACGTCCTCTGGGTTCCGGTAGATGGCTCGGATGGCTTGCTGCCGCGACTCGTATGGGCGACCGAGCATGACCTCCCTGACATAAAGCCGTCCATCGAACTGCCACGATGCGATAGATGGGGAGACGGCCTCGATGTTGTTTATGTAGAGGCCGACCGCTAGCGCACGGATGTTCACGTCGTTTGTGAGCTCGAGAGTCAACGTCTCATCGTCTTTGAGATCAAAGGAGTCGCTGGTGTCGTCGACGATGGCCTGAAAGGATGCCTCCAAGCTGGCCTCCGTGAGAGCAGTCGAAGAGTTATCCGATCGAACCCTCGACACGGAGAGGAGCTCGCGCACGGCGGCTTCGTTCTTGGATGCGGCAAGCGATGGTGTGAAGCACATATCAGCGTTCGCACTGCACTCGCCGTCGGAAACATTGTAAACGGCGCCGTTCGAGAGCTGAAGCTGAACCTCCTTGCCATCTGCAGGTGACGAGGCCATCGCCGCGATGGGCAAGCTGGTAGCGACGAGTCCGAGCAGGAAACTCCCCAGGTGCATTTTGGAGTGCGAGGTTGAGCCTCTCGACGGGGGGATGAGGCAATTCGCGGTTTGATTTTCTTTTCCTGGAAGTCTTCCCATTGTCGTCTGTTGTTTGAGTTGTGCCCTTGTTTGTGCCCTTGGCACCGTGGAGTGCTGGGGGGGGCGACAGGGAGGATGTGGCCCTGAGTTATGTGTACGCCGACTCAGGGTGTGTGGCAGCCAGCTGGCTGTGTGTCTTGTGAGCTTGTTTGTGTCTGTGTGTCGCTCGTGCAACACTTCGCTCTCACCTGGCAACCCTGTCTGCACGTCTCGCGCGCGCGTGAACAGGGCTCCAGGCCCCAAATGACGTGTGAGTGTTAGAGTTGTTTGGTATTGCTAAAAATCTCTCTCGCTCGTGCGTGTCGTCATCATCTGTCCAGCGTCCACCCATACCGCGTTGGTGTCCAGTCCGAGCCTGGCTGTTCTTCACCTTACTACCTACCTACCTTCCCATGGCCGAAGACGATATTGCCATGGCGGGGCGGGGAAACTTTTTATTATACCAAAAAGAGGGCTACACACGGCCCTCTACGCTGGGGCGCCGGCGCCGGGGAAACTTTTTCCCCGATTCGACGGATCCAGCTCGGGCCTGTCCGTGACCTGTTCCTAGCTAGTGCGTGTCGTCATCATCTGTCCAGCGTCCACCCATACCGCGTTGGTGTCCAGTCCGAGCCTGGCTGTTCTTCACCTTTCTACCTACCTACTCCTAGCTACTCGAGTAGGTGCGGACTGGCGCGTGCTGGCACTAAAAGCAAACGCGACTCGCCGCTTTCCTCCGTGATTCTTTGTCTTGTTTTAAAAGAAAGAAAACGGACAACCCAAGGGAGGGATAAATAAATAAATAAATAAATAAAACGGGCACGCCAAACGAGGGGTGGGAGAGGGACAGGGTCCCCACCTGCACGAGCAGGATCTTGGAAGGACGATCAGGGACACAGGGGAACGGGAGCGGGGAGCGCATCGCGACACGGAGGGGGGCTGGGCAGGGTTCACCCACACGACAGGGTCCCAGGGATTCCTCTCTCGTATAGGACAGGTTGCACCCGGCGGCACGGGGGCAGGCGCGGGCCTCCTACTGGTTGCGCTCTCCTAGTTCTCCTGCTCCTGACAAGGGACAGCGACAGGCTCGCAGCACGGTGGACTCCCTATTCCACTGGCGATCTCTCTCGACTAGCGACCTTCCTCCGGCTTCTCACCAGCAGTCTCTCACTACCACGGGCACACTGACAGAGGCGGCCAAAAGGCTCACGTGGGTGGCAGGGCGGTGATAGGAGTCTCCCACTCTGTGGGCTTCGCTAGAGGTGCGGCCCCTGCGCGTGTCCTCGCCCTTGCGTGTGTGTGTGTGTGTGTGTGTGTGTGTGTGTGTGTGTGTGTGTGTGTGTGTGTGTGTGTGTGTGTGTGTGTGTGTGTGTGTGTGTGTGTGTGTGTGTGTGTGTGTGTGTATGTGTGTGTGTGTGTGTGTGTGTGTGTGTGTGTGTGTGTGTGTGTCTGCGGGCGCTGTGCGAGCCGCCCTGAACGACCACAATGTTGAGCGCGCTCGAGCACCGAAGCACCGCGAGCGCCGGCGAGCACCACCGCCCCGCGCCTTGGCGTGGGTCGGTAGTACACGATGGGGCGCCCAGCAGCTCTATCATGCGTCGCACCCGCAGTGGCCGAGCCGACCGCCGCTCGAACTGGCGCCGAGTGGCTCCCAGATCGAGCGTGGCAGGCTCAGTCGCACCGTCGCGGGGCGAACGCGAACCGAGCCGTCGCCGTTCGCCGCAGCCGCCGGCCGCCAGCCGTCAGCCGTACAGCCGTACAGCCGTCAGCCGTCAGCTCGCAGTCGCCGTCGCTGCCGCCGCCGCAGCAGCAGTGAGCGAGCTCCTGCGTCGTGTTGCCGACGCAGTGTGGACGCGCGCCGCCCAGCGGCGAGCGAGCGTGCTCGGAGTTGGGTCGGCGCGCGCGCGGGCGGACGGCGCCTGTAAACAGACAGCCTGCACCCGCCCACTCGTTCAAAATCGTAGAGAGGGCCCGCCAGGCCCAAGGGAGGGATGGGAGGGAGAGAGAGAGAATTCTTGATACGAAACCACGACGACACACACCAGTCGACTCGCATCGGTTGCCTCCATGAACGGCGGAGCTATTCTCGCGCCCACACCACACCTGGCTCCAACGTGGACACGCCCATAGCTGGGGACACTACTAGGTCACGCATGGCATCACAGAAGTTTTATCTCTGGGCCCCGAAAGGCATCTCTAGCAGTGTCGTTACACATGCCCCCTCCCCTCCTGGGCGCATGCGCCTCACGTCTCGCCAGAGCATACGCCCTTGGTGTGTGGCGAGACGAGTTTTTCGCCATCGCCGCGAGCAGCAAGCCGCCCGCCGCAAACAGCCGGAGGCCTCGCCGCGGCACTGGCTGCGCCGCGGTCCCGCACCCGTCGACGCAGCTCCCCCCGCGGAAGGCCGCGCGTAGCAACGTCTTGACGATCGAGATGAGCGTGCCTGAAGCTCGCCCACCTACTGCCCCTGAGAGTTGGTTATTGAGTGGGATCAGCTCCCCCCCTTGGGATCGAAGCCGCCACAACCTCACACCCAACATCCCAGGCGGGATCAGAAGGGGACTCCACACCGGACACCGCCCGGGCACAGCCCCCCTACCCGTCGGATCGCACAGAGGGCCCCCTCGGAGCAGCCCACACACAATCACGCATCGGCAGATTGAGTGCCTGAGTCAGGCAGACAGCACAGACAAGGAGAGGAGAGAGAGAGGAGAGAGAGAGAGAGAGGAGAGGGTGAGGGTGTGAACACACTTGAGGAGTGAGTGGGGAGGGTGTCTGTGGTGGGCTGTAGTCCTACTACGTGGTTAGAACCACGCGCCCCTCAGGAGCTTAAGGTAGAGCTGAGCGTCCCAGACGCCTCGGTGCCACCCACCGGCGTGAGACCATCCGGATCTACCCAGTGCGTCCTCCGGACGGGCTGGTCCCCGCGATGGCCCACGGTCCTCCGTCACCTGGTTGACCCCCTGCCTCCCGGTTGACCCCCACTCCTCGTAGTCCATCATGAAATAAACTCAAAGGTCCACCACAGCCTCCAGCCTCCACCTCCACCCGCGAGCCGCCACCGCTGTCGCCCGCGACGCCGCCCGCCGCGTCAGATAGCCGCGACGCGCGCACCGAGTCGAGTCGGAGAGCCGCACCGCACCAGCAGCAGCATCTGCACCACCAGCAGCAGCAGCAGCACCACCACCACCACCCGAGAGAGAAGCGCACCTGCCCGACGCCGCCCGCCGCGTCAGACGCTCGCGACGCGCGCGTCGAGCCCAGTCGCACAGCCGCGCCGCGCCAGCAGCAGCATCGGCACCAGCAGCAGCACCACCACCACCACCAGCATCAACAGAGACAGGCAGTGCAGGCGCAGAGGCGCTCGCAGAGCGGCGCTCAGCGCCGCGCACGCCACGCCGCGGACCGTCGGACGAGCGCACCGTACGTCGGCGGCGAGCCGCGTCGCCAGCCGTCTCGCGAGAGAGCGGCGCCGCCGCGTGCGCGCAGCAGCCGCCGCGGCAGAGGCGAGCCGCGGCGACGTCCGCACTAACGGATAACGGCCATTGGCGGTTGGCCTCTCTCTCTCTCTCTCTCTCTCTCTCTCTCTCTCTCTCTCTCTCGGGATGGGAGGGCCAACAATTTTCACCGTTTTCTTTTTCTGGGATTCCGACTGATCCAGCTCTAGCTCCCGGCCGCCCAGTGCTGCGCGCTTGCTGCCTGCTACCAGCCGCTACTATGTGCCAGAGCGAAGCGCCCGACGCCGCGCCGGTCAAGCCAGACGCGGCACCTCCGGCCTCCAAGCCAAAGCCACAGGCGGAGGAGCTGGCGGCGATTCGCCACTCGCCTCAGCGCAAGCGTGCGATCGCTCTTGGCCGGCCCTCGGATGCGGCCGGCGAGTGTGACGTGGTGGCGGACCCGCGCTTCGACATCGACAAGACCATCTTCGGGACGCTCACCTCGCCCATCAAGCGCTGGGTGCAGTCGGCGAAGCTCAACCACGTCGAGACCTGGCACGCCGAGCCGCTCGCCGGCATCGAGTCTGCCTTTGCCGCCGTGTCTGTGCCTCGGTCGGTCTCGGACGACGCGCCCCTGTTCCGGTTCATGGCGGAGGAGTGCGACTTCTCGCTCGAGCACGCGGACGGGTCCTTCATGGACCACCTCCACTTCTGCGCCGACTACTCTGCGCTGCACTTTTCGGCACTCGCCCGGCGAGCGGCGTATGTCTTGTGAACGGCGTCTCTTCACCGCGCTCGTGCGTTGAACAGGACCACTCGCCCCGCGTGCTGCTGCTGCACTCCATCCTCGGCGTGGGCACCAACTGCTTCCCGATGGGCGCAGAGAAGCTGCCGGCGCTCCGCTCCCCTGCTCCGGCAAGGAGGGGTCGTCAGCGAGCTGCAATGAGTTCGCTGCCACTCTGCTGCCAATAGGCGCTCCGCTCCCTGCTCGACGAGGAGGAGTTCGCGCAGATCTCCGCCTTCCCGTCGGTGCTGCGGCTGATGGTCGGCACGGACTTCCTGTCGCGACTTGAGGCGGCCAGCGAGGAGGAGCTGGGCTGGACTACTAGGAACTTTCTAGGAACCATCTTGGAACCTTCTAGGCGGCCAGCGAGGAGGAGCTTGGCTGGAATACTAGGAACCTTCTAAAAACCCTCTTGGAACCTTCTAGGCGGCCAGCGAGGAGGAGTTGGGCGCGCTGCGAGGTTTGTCGTGCCGCCGCGTGCTGGACAACTAGGAACCTTCTAGGAACCTTCTTGGAACCTTCTAGGCCTGTCGTGCCGCCGCGTGCTCGACAACGCCGAGGTGCACCTCTCGTCCGAGATTACCCGAGATTGCCCGATTACTACTAACGTGTGTCTGGACAACGCCGAGGTGCACCTCTCGTCCGAGCAGCTCTGGGCGCACCTCAACTACCAGCTGATCCACCTCATCGACTTTCTGCCCGCCACAGCCTGGCAAGTCACCTTCAACGACTACTTCGCCGTCTTCTTTGTCCGGCTGCACGCGCTGCTGCAGCGCGCAGGCAAGCTGCCCCCTCCCCTCCCTGGCCGCGTTTGCCACAGCCTCCTTCACATTTCCTTCGTCTTCCTGCTGCTCCCCGGCCGGACCAGCAGCCGCAGTCTCCTTCACACAGACCAACACGCGCCTTGCTGTCTCGCAGGCAAGCTTCCAGACACGTCCTAGACACTTCCTAGACACTTCCTTGCCGACTCGCAGGCAAGCTGCTGGCGGGCGTCGCGTACCAGCCAGAGTGGGCCAAGCCGCTGCTGCCCAACTCTCGCCCCTCCTCGTGGGCGCACTGCGGTGGTCGACCAGCTGAGACATGTCCAGGACACGTCCAGGACATGTCCGCGACGTGCCCCACAGGCTCACTGGGTGGTCGACCGCCTCCCCGTGCGCGTCAACCTCTCGCTCGCCGGCAGACACTTCGTAGACACTTCCTAGACACTTCCTAGACACTTCCTAGACACTTCCTCCCCGTGCGCGTCAACCTCTCGCTCGCCGGCAGACACTTCCTAGACACTTCCTAGACACTTCCTAGACACTTCCTAGACACTTCCTCCCCGTGCGCGTCAACCTCTCGCTCGCCGGCAGACACTTCCTAGACACTTCCTAGACACTTCCTAGACACTTCCTAGACACTTCCTCCCCGTGCGCATCAACCTCTCGCTCGCCGGCAGAGCCATCCGCGGCTGCTCGAGCACGTGTGAGCCGTCGGCCGCTCGTTGCCAGCCAGTCACGGACTCGCAATAGGGAAAGCCATCCGCGGCTACTCGGCGGAGATCGGCCACTCCCTCGACTACACGCTGCTCTGGTGAGGGCGCGGCGGCAGGCGGCGGGGCGGCGGCGGGGCGGCGGCGGGGCGGCGGCGGGGCGGAAGGCCGCACGCGCCGCACGCGCCTCGAGGGTTTGGGGAGCCCGATCCAGCCTTCGTGCCCGTTCGGCCCGCTGAAAGAGGACAGTGGCGCTCGCTCGCGGGGGCTGTCGCGCGCGCTAGCTGCCGACCCTCCGGTGCGCGTCCCTCTCTGTGTACAGTGTGTACGTTGGCTGTGCAGAGATCTCCTGTGCGTGGCTCTGGCAGCTCTCCATGTGGGTCCGGAGGTCGTTGAAATTCTGAGAGGCGAGAGAGATGAATCTTCTCGACAATCACAAAGCTGCCGCGTAAGTGAGTTCGTTCTCGTCACACTCGTCTCTCGTGCGAGGTTTCTCGTGTGCTTTTTAGAGCCGTACGCGGACGCCAAAACGGCGAAAACTCTACGCTAGTAAGGCCCACCCTGCACCCACCGATTCATGAGAGAGCGAGCACAAGGGAAGCGCGCACATGATGTGGACACATGGGAAGTCCCGCGCAGTGTACGCTCAACGGCACCTCGCGCTCTCGGACTCGCGCACAACAGTACCCCCGCCGCGCCTCCCCCCTCGGGCGAAGCCAACGCCGGCGCCGGCGGAGGACGGGAAACCGCGCGCCGCAGAGGGCGGAGCGCCGCAACCACTCACGTCTCTGCAGCGGCGCCTCACGGGCTGTCTGCCGCCTCCTCCGCCGCCGCGCCAGCCGCCTCCCCGCCGGCGCCTCCTCCTCCGCTCTCCGGGTGTTCGCGCCGCTCGGTGAGGGAAGAGTACATCGTCATCAGGTTCTGCCGCTCCTCTGTGAACTGCGACGGGTTACACGTCCGGGAAGAAGCTCAGGAAGTGTCTAGAAGTGTCGAGGAAGTGCCTAGGAAGTGTCTAGGAACTGTCTCGGAAGTGTCTACAGGAAGTGTCTGGAAGTGTCTAGGAGGTGTCTAGGAGGTGTACGCCGAGTAGATGTAGAGTCCCCGCCCGGCGTGGCGAGCGAGCAGTGTCTCTAGGAAGTGCCCAGGAGGTGTCTAGGAAGTGCCTAGGAAGTGCCTAGGAGGTGGCACCTGCGACGGGTAAAAGTCCGGGAAGAAGCGCTGGATGAAGGAGAAGACGAGGACGTGCCTAGGAAAGACGAGGAAGTGTCTAGGAAGTGTCTAGGGAAGTGTCTAGGGAGGTGTCTAGGAAGACGAGGACGTGCCTAGGAAAGACGAGGAAGTGTCCAGGAAGTGTCTAGGGGAGTGTCTAGGGGGAAGTGTCTAGGAAGACGAGGACGCGCCTAGGAAAGACGAGGAAGTGTCTAGGAAGTGTCTAGGGAAGTGTCTAGGGAGGTGTCTAGGAAGACGAGGACGCGCCCGAGCGGCGTGAGAGGGATGAGCAGGATGACCACGGCGGGCACCACCGTGACGAGGTCCTACGGGTGTGAAGAGACGCCGTTCACGGGGGGGTGAGGAGGTCCACGGCGGGCACCACCGTGACGAGGTCCTTTGCGATGCGGCGCAGAATCTTCGTCTCCTGCGGTCGCAGCGTGTACCCCTGCAGCGTCGCACGCGCGAGCATCGAGCCGAAGAGCTGCACGTCCTAGAAGGTTCCAAGAAGGTTCCGCGAAGGTTCCTAGAAGAGCATCGAGCCGAAGAGCTGCACGTCCTGCCCCATCAGTAATAATAATAATAATAATAATAATAATAATAAATAATAATAATAAATAAGAGCTGCACGTCCTGGCCCATCAGCTGCAGCCCGCGCGTGTAGAAGGCCACGCCCTGCAAGACCTTGCTCATGCTCACCTGCGCCGTCTCGAGCGCCCCCCTCCCCGCCAGGTACTCGTCGTCCTGCCCCTGCAGCCCCAGCTGCAGCAGCATCTCGCCGATGTCTTTCTCGACGGCGTCCAGCTGCTCGTCGTCGACAGACTCGTGCCTAAAACAAGAAAAGAAAAAGATTTTACTCTTTCTCGACGGCGTCCAGCTGCTCGTCGTCGACGGACTCGTGCCTAAAACAAGAAAAGAAAAAGATTTTACTCTTTCTCGACGGCGTCCAGCTGCTCGTCGTCGACGGACTCGTGCCTCTCCGACCGCACCAGCGCTACCATCCCACGCACCGTCCCCTCCAGTGCGCCGTACCTAGTGTCATAACAGCAAGAGTCACAGGATAGTCATCAACAGCACCATCTGTGATACGTCTAGGTAATCACAACCGCATCGGCAGCAGCGACCATCGGCAGCAGCTAGACTATCTCCCCATATCTCCCCATATCTCCCCATATCTCGCCGCACCTCTCGACCATCGGCAGCAGCTGGTCCGTCAGCGTCGACTTTGAGCGCAGCTCCGCCTCGACGACGACGTAGATGCGCTCGAGCTCGAGCAGCGCCGCCTTGAGGCCGAGCTCTCATTTATTATGATTTATTATGCTTATTTCTTATTCTTCTTGTTATAGCAGCGCCGCCTTGAGGCCGAGCTCCTTCTGCAGCTTCATGATGGACTCGTCTGCGCGCAGCGTCTCCTCGAGCAGCGCCTCCGCATTGTACCGCACGAGCGCCTTTGACTCCAGTACAAGTTGTGAGTGACTCATTATTCATTATTAATTAAGGCATTGTACCGCACGAGCGCCTTCCGCTTGAGCTCCTTATTATTATTATTATTATTATTATTATTATTATTATTATTATTATTATTATTATTATTATTTATTTATTATTACGAGCGCCTTCCGCTTGAGCTCCTTCTGCCTCTGCACCAGCCGGATCCCCGCCCGGAGTTTGCTCGCCTAAATGAATGGTTCGTCATTGACCATTCCTAATCAAGGAGCCGGATCCCCGCCCGGAGCTTGCTCGCCTCGGCGCGGAGGGAGAGCAGCGCCTTCGACTCGCGCTGCAGCGACCGCAGCTCGTCCTCGCGCGAGAAGTTGCCTCCGTTCAGTCTCTCCCACACGTTGCGGGCCGCCACCGCCAGGCTCTGCGCCTCGCCAACCGCCGCGCGCAAGTCGAAGCCCTCCCCCTCCTCCTCCGCCGCGCCGGGCCGAGGAGGCTCGACGGCGAGGGGCAGCTCGCGCGCCTTAGCGATCACGCGCCGCAGCTTCGGCACCGACTGCGCCACTGCGCCCGCCGAGGCATTGTACCGTGGAGCCACGTCCGCGAGCGCCGTCTCTGCGGAGCGCTGCCGTCCGCGCAGGGCCTGGCCGCAGGGAGGAGCACGTCAGGGGTGGCGAGTGCGTGCGTGCGCGCGTGCGTGCGTGACAGAGAGAGAGGGAGAGGCCTGCAGCTCGTCCGGCGTCAGCACCGCAGCGTGGCACGCATCCTCGCCGAGGTCAGCGCGCAGGCGGGAGAGGATGGCTCCAAAGTCGATGTCGCGCAGGATGGACGGGTCCGCGTTGAAGTCCTCCTCCAGCCGCAGCGCGAACTCCGCCTCCTCGACCGTCCTCCGCTGCCCGATGGAGCGCGAGATGTCGGCGAGGCGCGAGAAGCGCTCGTTCGAGGCGAGCACCTCCCACTCGAGGTCGCGCTCGCTCTCCTCCGCCGCGTCCTCCGCCGACGCCGCCGACGCCGCCGCAGCCCCCACCGCCTCGGCCGCCGCCGGAGCCTCCCGTGGTGAGCCGACCGCGAGAGCGGCGGGAGCGCCGCGCGAGAGATAGTGCGCAGAGGCGACGCCGGGCAGCAGCCGCCCGGGCGCGCCGACGCAGTAGCCCGATCCGCGGCCGAGCAGCAGCAGCAAGCAGAGCGGGCGCGCTCGCAGCCCTGCGGTGTGTCTGCTGAGCCTCGCCTTGCGCATCGCCGCTCGCGATGCTCACCGCGAGTCCCTGTGGGTTCGAGTATTTCCTGGTTGGGGCTCTGTGCGTGTGGGGCTCGTGCGTGTGTGTGTGTGTTCTTCACCTTCCTACCTAGCCTAACCTAATCCTGGCTGTTCTTCACCTTCCTACCTAATCTAACCTAATCCTAACCTAACCTGTGTGAATACTCACTCACTCACTCACTCACTCACACACTGTGGGCTCCAGGCCCCAAATTACGTGTGAGTGTTAGAGTTGTTTGGTATTGCTAAAAATCTCTCTCTCACACTGTGTGGGGCTCGAGCGGAACACGGACGACGACGAGGACGCCGACCACTCCGACAACAACAAAACAATCTCTCTCTCTCTCTCTCTCTGTCTCTCTCTCTCTCTCTCTCTCTCTCTCTCTCTCTCTCTCTCTCTCTCTCTCTCTC